AGAAAGTATCAGGGATGAGGATTAATTACAACTAAAGTGAGATGATCCCCCTAAATTTAGAAGCAAATGAGATTGGACCTTTGTAGATTTCTTTGGTTGTCCAATAGGCAAATTCCCTATAAAATACTTAGGGGTGCCTTTAGATTTTGAGAAATTGTCTAGAGAGGATGTCCAACCTCTCATTGATAAAATCCTGAAGAGGATTGCATGGTGGAGAGGCAAGTTACTCTCCCATCCTGCTAGACTAGGCTTGTCTTGCTAGCATCCGATCCCCATCTATCCGGCAGATTCCCCAAATGGGCAGTAGACATGATTAACACCCAGATGGCAAACTGCCTTCGGAATGGTTTTGAAGACCATAGGAAGATACATTTGGCAAATTGGCCTTTAGTCACCATGAAAAAGGATTTTGGAGGTTTGGGCATTCCCAACATTCATGATCTTAATATCTGTCTGTTGGGTGCCTAGGTGAATAGGTACATGTTTGATGAGGGGAAGATCTAGAGAACTGTAGTTGATAATAATTACTTCCTCTGTAAAGAAATATAAGAGCGTTTAGATCACTAAAGTAGTGATCTAAACAATCTTATATTTCTTTACGAACGAAGTACAAACCAATGGCAAACATTTTATGTATCCAAGATAAAGATGCATCAACCTTCTGGAAAGGATTAGTATGGTCCTCTAGGGCAGTCGGATACAAATGGGCACTGGGGGATGGTAATAAAATTATATTTTGGGAAGATTGCTGGTTTGGTTCATCACCTCTTTCCATTCAATTCTGGGACCTATATGTCTTTTGTAGAGAACAGGGGCAAACTATTAGACAAGTGGGAGATGGGGTAACCCTGAAACTCACTTTTAGAAGAGCTTTCTCACCTCCTATGATATGTAATTGGCTTGAGTTAGAGGTATTGCTAATAGTATCTCTTTACTAAGGATACTGACTCTCTAGTGTGGTAATACACAGCTTCATGGGTTTACTCCTCAAGCTCTCTTTATGCAATATCAATTATAGGGGGGTCTCTTCTATTTTTATTCCTGCTGTCTGGAAGCTTATTGTACCTCCCAGGATACATATTTTATTGTGGTTAGTTGCTTATAATAAGATTATGACAAGGGAAAACCTGTGGAGTGTGTTTTCTGCTTAGAGCGTGGGAGTGTGCAACCTCTCTTCTTTGACTGTTTAATAGCCAAGATTGTTTGGGAGGAGATTAGTTCCTTTCTCTCTAAACAAATTTGCATCTCTGTGGAATCTATTTCTTCATGTTGGATTGCGAGCAAGAAAATGGATGCCATTAACTCTGTTTCATCTGTTGTTTTATGGTATATATGGAAGCACAGGAACAACATGATTTTTAACAGTGTTGTTTGACTTTCTTTAACCCAGGTTTGGTCGATGGTTTTAAGAATTGTCAAGAAATGGCGCCTCCTATTCAAGGACCACATGCTGGAACAGATGGACCAATTTCTGCCCCCACCTACAAGGCTTGCTGAGAAGACACACACAACTGGAGTGGGGGTGAAGGAGCAAGGAGCTGTCGATGGTTACTCAACTAACTTCGTGCTGGGTGGCCTGGGGTTGATGAGTCTACATCTACACCGGAGATTGTCTATTAGCCGCTGCCCCAACCCCTCAGCTGCAAGTGTAGCATCTTTATCGTAGCATGTTTCCCTGTTTTTTGGTGTTTCAGTTTTACTGCCACTTTGTAAATAGCTTAAAACGTCAAGTGTATGGTGTGCTTTTCAATTTTCATTTTATCTCGCTGGTTATATCTGTACTGGACAAAACAATCCCATTTTATTCGGGCGTCTATGTGCAACGGAGCCGGCAAAACTGGCCAAATGGGTCGTGCCAGCTGGGCCGACCCGCTAGCACACATGCACGTCATG